GCCTTGCCAGATCTGGTACCATATTTGCAGGAATGTGCGGAGGTGCGTGAGGGCCTATTGTTGCCAAACCCCTCAATACTGACTGGTGAAATAGGCTCTCCTCGTCACTCGCAATTATCACTCATTTACCGCTGTCCTCAGTGGTCTGCAGAAGTACAGCATCACAGATCTGACGATTACCAATACCAAAAACACCACGAGTACAGTAGCTCTGAATCCAGTGCTACCCCCTAACTTAGTCTACCTGTTGAACCCCCTTCGGAATTATGCGGCCTATCGCCGGCAGTTTCAGGAGTTCCCAGGCATTCCATTTCTCTTCCCACACCTTCGGGAAATCAGACAGCACGGAGAGCCAGCGTTGCGCCAATTCTTCAACAACACGCAGATTCGAACATGCTAATGAACGAGTGCAGGTCGCTCATATGATATGAAGGCGTCTCTCGGTATAGGTATCGATGTTGAGGAAGGATAGTTTCTAATCTTTGGTCTATGGGACGATGACATTCGCATGTGATATATTTAGATTGATCATTGACATCATGTAGTTGGTAGGGATACAGTGATAATTACTGGATTCTGGATTGAGACCATAAATTGGCTATCGCATATACATTGCATTAATCGCGTATGTAGCAGCCTCATTCTCAAGTCTCTTTCAAGACTTTCAATTCGAGGTGATCAAAGGGGAGCTGTCATAATCCCGCCGTCGCCTCTCTTTCACTGATATGATTCCACATAGTGCATCAAGTCCCTCAAAATCGTCGAGTCTAGTTCATGCAGCACCTCGCAAGAACATTGCAAGCGATACATCATCCCTGCCGACCCTCAACCTGTCTCAAGCCTTCTTCCTCTCGATCTTGTTTGCTGGCACTCTCGCCTCTCCAAACAATCCCACCAGATAAGCAATTCGGTTGATCATCAGAAAGCCCGTGATACCGACATTCCCCCAGGTCAAAACATTCCAATTCACAACGTCGACAAATCTGTCATGGCCCATACAGCAGTACGTCACGTAGATGTGGCCCACATCCGCGACGGCCAGAGCATAGAGGTAGTTACGCAGCACCCTGGGCTCGGTGGTCGAGTAGCAGATTCCGATCCCTAGGATACTGAGGAGACCGTAGAGGTTGGCTAGCTGGAAGGCGAGGGCTGCGCTGGTTGGGTGGATGGAATCCGGGCCGGTGAGACCAGGAACCTGATCCGTTATGAACGATTTGAGGTCCCAGAAGGGGAGGGCCCAGCCCCCGATGCTGTGTCTGTTAGTTAATTGCCTTGGAATGGAACATGTGGGCGAGAGTCAGGGCGTACAGGGTGATTGGCTCTATGACGGCAAAGAGGATGTGCGGCCAGGTTGGGAAGATAGTGGACATTGTCAGACTTGATGGATCGTTTTCTTGGCTTGGAACTGGACAGACTTGATTCTGAAGATGCAAGATATGATGAAATCGACTATGCAACTCTGTAGGAGAGATGAAGCTATTGGTTGTTGTTTACTAAGAGGGGGTAGAGAAGAAGTAGGTCGATATGAGCTGATCCTCAGGTGTTAGTACTCATCATCAGCCTAATGCCCCTTATTCAGAACAGTGAATACACATCCTGTCTTCCACTGATCAGTGAACTGTCCTCTATCTACGCTCTGCAACTGAATCATCTTCATTCCCGTGAAGTAATTAATATCCAAGTTCCTTGAGAAAACCAAAAGATCTAGATTCCCAATAGCCCGTGATGGCGGCCTTAGTCATCTGCATCAAAAACCGGAACTGCGCTTTTGGCACGACATTCCGCCCGTAATGCTGCCTTGGATTCCATCATGATCCCATCAGGATTTCGGCCAGCTCTTTTAACCTGCTTTTCTGCTCTTGATGGTCCCTAGGTCTCCAATGCGTATCATCGCAATGGACTGCGCAGCGACTTTTGGATGTTCCGTGATGTCCGCCATCTCTCTGTGACCTGCCTTTCGGATGGCACGAATCCCAACAATGGATACCAACGGCACTTTATCTCGACCTCTCGATGAGTCTCTGTTTCGCGAACTTCCACAGCTCCAGAGTCTCCGCATTGCTCCTCTCCGTCAGCCAGTCTCTTCCCGTCTGCTGAGCGTTCCGTCACCTCTCGAACCGAGTGCCAGTGGAATCCGCGAGCCCAATGCCGGCACCAAGTCCAACACGCCTGGCGCAAATCTGCCCGCCAACCTCCCTACTCTTACGGAGTTCTTGAACGCCGCCCAGTCAAAAAAGAACGATCATGCGGTGGACTCGCTTCTGAGCTTGGAGCCTCCTCCAAAAACCATATTACCGGCCTTTGTCAATCTACGAGCTCTGGAACGATTTCCTTATTCCTCGTTCGACGATGACTCTTTGGCTCGCAAGCGTCGCCGTTTAGATGTCCAGACGGATTCCTTCGGAGAACATTTGCAGCTTCCGATCCCTCAGGCGCAGAAAGAACAGCGACCTCCGCCATTTGGACCTTTTGCGATCCTCAATGGACTGAATGAACCGCCCCCCAACGCTGCTCTCCTGCCTCCTATCGAACCTGGCTCCATCACGCAACTGCTCACCAAACCATCGCGGGATGCCGCTGTTGTTGAGTCCGCTACATTGACTGCTATTACAACGACGGTTACTCAGACAGCTGAACGGAGGGAAGGGAGAATCGAGGATATCCTTGACTCCCCGATCGATGACAAGACTGCCAGCGCTGACCAAGCCCCTGTGAAAGCACACTCTCCAGTGAACGGGGTGACTGTTGATCGACCCGAGGGCGAAATTGAAAAGTCCGAATCCGATAAGACTCCTACTCCGCCTACGGATGATGTCGAGCCACTTTCTCCAAAGACGAGGGGCCGCTCCCGCAAGAACCTTCGCAAATGGACTGAGGAGGAGACGACCGCATTACTTCGTGGGGTGGTCAAGTGCGGTATCGGTAACTGGACGGCTATCTTGGCGCAGCCAGAACTGAAATTCAACAAACGAAGTGCTTCAAATTTGAAAGACAGGTATGGTGTGAACGCGGTCTTCAATAAGCCGAGAGCTAACATTGACTTTTACATCGTCAGGTTCCGGGTTTGTTGTCCCTGGGCATATCGGTGAGTTTCTACCTTGCCATTCTTCAGTTTCAGCCTCTAAATTTGTATAGCGCTGCCGACCCGAACGAGGCCACAAAGCAGTTGCACGATACGCTGGCCAATGCACTCCTCAGGGCTGAGACGGAAGGTTCCGATGGCACAGCTGGAAAGATTCTGCTTCCACAGCCAAGGCCAGCCAAAGTGGAGTCTCATAATTCCAATGGCGGCTCAATTGCCAGTGTGAACGAGTCATACTCGAACGGCTCATCCTCTGAAGCCGATAGCAAACCTTCAAAATCTCGCTCGAAATACGGGCCATCTTTCAAGGCCACACCTACTCTTTCAAATAGATCTAAATCCACTCTTGCCTCTCTCGGTATTCCAGAACCCCACTTTACCATGAAATCCCGGCGTCGCTCCCGCCGCCCATTCACAGTCGCTGAAGACGAAGCTTTGCTCAAAGGATATGCCGTTCACGGATTCCAATGGACACTCATCCAGCAAGATAAACGCTTGAACCTTAGCCACCGGAAGGCAACTGATCTTCGAGACCGATTTCGCACTAAGTTTCCTCACGCGTATCGGGACGGAGGCTCCGTCAATGGTAGATCATTGCATAGCCAGAGTCATGGTGTAGGCCTGGCGGATACAAAGAAAGCGCCTCCCATAAAACCCAACACACAAGCCACTCGGCAATCCACGTCCTCCGCACGAGGCGGTAGAACTGATTTGGCAGATCAAGTCTCCTTGGGACCTATTGATCCGGCCCTTTCCCCCCCTGCTCCTCCGCAGGGTTTGCTCGAGGCGGCGGCGAATGCGCCAGCAGGAACTACAAGTCTGCATTTCCCGCTGGACGAGAACTCTTCGAACGCCCCAGGTGTGGATGCATCCTGGGCCGATAACACCCTTGCACCGATGGTCTGGGACGAGTTGGCCTAGTCCTACTTCCTCCATACGGGCCTTTCATTGACCTTCTTACTCTCGCTACCCGTTGTCTTTTAACCTCCTCACTTTCACACATTTCGCACATTTCACACACTCATTGCCGTTGCTGGCTTCTTTATTTCGGGCCCTTTTACGCTGTCGTTCTCGTTCTTTCCTTTCGACTCGTCTCGTCTCTTTTCTTTTTCTTATTGCGATCGCTTTGTTTTCGATCAAAACTATACCCCGCAGTACACGATGGTTTTGTTAAATTAATTTTTGCAACAGACCCTTTCATCCACGGCCGACTCAGCGTTGGCAGCAAAGGGAACAGGAAATGGAAATGGAAATGGAAAAAAAGGGAAAATGAAAAAGACTAAAAGAAACTAAACTTCTACCGGGGACGAGACAAATGATAATCCTCCGGAATCGAGATATTACTTCCTTTCCACCACTCAGAGAGATATTTCTAAGGCCTCGTAGACCTCGTTGACGTATGTGATTATCACAGCACTCCTTACTTGTGCGAGGGAAGGAATTAGAGTCGTGCATAGGAGAGTTCATATTGAGGCAAGTAAAAAACAGCGCTGAATTAGCGGAACCACGACGTTCGCCATGCTGTCAAGACGACGATCCACAACGTGACGCAAAAAAAAGTGCAGATGGGATATGTCAACCGGGTGCGATATACGGCAATAGTCAAAAGTGCAACAGCATGGAAACATACTGTCTCCGTACTGAAATATTCGCAAACAAAGAGATGCCATGCCCCCAAAGTGTCTCGAGCGCTGCTTTACACTTTTGCGCTTCTGCGCAACAAATCAAAGGTGGAATTCAACAGTCGTATGGGTCTTGGAAAAGGAAGGGAGAGAGGAAGCGTAGAGCGGAAATCGCAGAGCGAACATAACGTATATCTGAGACGCCGGTGGCCATTGGAAAGGCTGTGATGGAAGAAAAGAGAAGGACATGATCGAATTGGAAGATAACGAGGCGATCTTGACGCTGGAAGTATCGTTCACCAAGCATTGCGGTCCCAGTTTGGATCTACACAGCCGTTAGCTCTTTTCTTCGTAATTGACACCGCATTACGGCATGCATCCACATCCACGCCCACCAGACCAGAAGAAGACAACTCACCCTGTATAAAGCTCGCTAGTACCTTACTCCCCGTCTGCAAAAGCGGATGACCGGCAACGATCTGCAAGAACCGCTGCAACCCCTCCCGACGATGCTCGATTACGTCGTCGCTGAACCGGTTTGTGAACACTTTCCCCGGCAAGGGCGGGATCGTGACTCTCGTGCTCTCGCGCTCCAGGATATCGCGGAAGTATTCAAAGTCGGAGTACCGTCGGCGCACGACAGAGTGCTTCAGTTTGAAGGCGGGGATGTTTGTTCGGCAGACGATCTCGTACGAAGTGTACATGTTGCGGGATGTGCCATGGGTCTGGGGATTACGGACCTGGGTACGGTGCGAGGTTAGTCTCGAGCAGGATTGGATCATTCGAGGGTTGGATTGTGAATATGATAGATAGGGGACTTCTCGGTGACTCTGATGGACCGGGGTAGTTTTCGCATGGGAGTGTTGTTGCTTACCTCAATCTCGAGAAAGTTCTCGGGAGGCCCGTAGATCTCCTCAAATGTCTGTTGTCGCGATTCAGGGACGGCTTGCATTGTCGATGGCGGGGTGTCTTGTGCCCAAGGATGAATGGCAAAGACAAACGGGATGTTGGGTGGGGGGAAAGGACCGCGGGGAAGATGGATGTTGCGACTGGCCAGTAAAATAAGAGCACGATCGTTTACAGGGTGCGCGGACGCTCGAGGTAGTAAAGTGGACGTCTTGAGACTGTGGAGGTTCGTATGAGAAATTATCGCAGTTAAGAAGGGGAAGAAGTGGGAGAGAGTCTTCCTAGATTGCGTCAAGAATGCCTGGTTGATAGCAGATGGATCTTTGTGCTATTCATGGCCCATCCTTGTCTTCTTCTAGACCATTCTGGGTAAAGTGACGAGTGACAGCTCGCATTATCATTGATCCGTTATCGACGTTCTTATCTATCGCTTATCGAGACGCACCTGTTTCTTCACAAGAGTCAAGCGTGTTACCTACATATTGAGAACTTCGGATGTTGGATAGTGCTATCTCTATATCGACCAGCTATGAAGGTTGTACAGGACTTCAGGCGCCTTGTACAGAAGCATTGACAGGAAGCGGAACTCTGTAAAGCATTGTCTGTCACGTGTTGGTGGCCATGAGGGATGAACAGACTACAAATGTACAATGGAACAAGTAAAGTTAGACTTGAGTGCAAGGAAAATACGAATGGTTAGACAGAGGTGATATCCTGTCGGGGGCTACCTGACTACGAATGCCTAGCCAAAATGAAAACTGAGCACCAGAAATGAATTTTCCAGAAGCCAATTCCATCCAACTGCAGCTCCTTGTAGCACAGAGACGCATCGTCGATTCTCGAAACCAGTTGCCGGAGAGCTTATTCGCAGATAGTGTGCCACTCATCTCTCATACTCCAAGCGTCCCGCGGCGCTCGAGCCTCATTCTTGTCGGACGTGCGATGACCCCAGAAGTGACAGTCAATGTAGTCGGTATACATGTCAGGCACGTTGCTGAATGTCCCCTCGATCTCTCCATTTCCCAGAAACCTCATCTCGCCAGTACAGCTGGGATCCGCATAAACCTCGCCGCTTACCTGATCAACACCGCGCCATTTGAAGAAGCAGCCACCTTCGCTTGAAGAAGTCACTTGGTAAGGACGCTGCGGCATAAAGAGAATGCCTTCCAGTTCACCGATCTGAAATTCACCCCAGATGCTCGTCCTGTCCAGACAGAGGATCATTCCTGAATTGCGAGTGTTGACTTCTTGCGAGTCGATCTTGTATGATCCGTTAAGAAGACCGAGCGATATCCGTTGCGTTTGAGGAATCTAGTTTCAGTGCGAAGTGTGAGCAGACTGTTAACTGAGCATACAGAAGGGAACATTACTTTGGAATCTCCTTTACTTATCTCTCCATAATTTGTCTGCGCTGGCTTCTCCCTGGGTTTCGCTTCCTTCCTCTGCTTCTCTTCAGTCTTGATTCGTTTCAAAGGGGGTTGACCCTTTCCATCGTGAGCGATCCCAAGGTTGACATTGATGTTCAAGCTAGGTCCTGCGGCCCTTGCAGCGGCCAGGATAGCAGCAAGGTCATTTTGGTCGATCGCGTCTTCAGAAGCAGTATTAGCTTTGCGTTTTGCTGGCTTGCGAGAAGTTTCCTTCGCTCTCTTCTGGTTCGCATCCCACTCCTGTTTCAGTTCTTTTTCCAGCCTTTGAATATGAGCAGGCACTTCGAGCGTGTCATGATTCAATGCATCTACAAGTCGCAACATCGCCGTGCCCTTGCGATCTGATGGCTGAAGACCATAGTGAAGGAGCTGAGCTCGGTACCAGTGAGCAGGTTGGTCTTGAACAGACGTTTTCGAGGAGGACGAGAAGAAAAAGGCCTTGAGTTCAGCTACGCTGTAGCGACGGTAGGGTTTGTTATTCGAGATAGCGTAGAATTCATGGTTGTAGTATTCAAACCCACCCCGGGTCACTGGAGGCGTGGGACTCATTTGGAATCGAAATTAGGGCTAGCGGTGAGACGAATGCTCGTATGGTCTGGGTTCTACCTCCGTTTGGAAGAGTCAAGAACTTGAGGAATAGGGGATAATGAAGGAATTGGTGGGGTGATCAAGCGAGCAATGGTCACGATGATGTATGGTTGCGTGAGTGAAGCATAACCCAACTTTCCATTCACCGAAGTTGTCTGCCAAACTCAGCTTAAGAACACAGCCTATGTGTTTTTCATCCTCTGTTGAACATCCAGAAAGTTTGTCAGCGTTGCGAGTACGGGCACAGGCTGACAGAACCTCATTCTCATACCTCGTTTTGGCGCCTGATGCTGATGATACTCATTATCTCTGCTAGTAGCTCAGTACCATAGATTGCCTTTGACTGAGATGTTTGAGACCTTGAATGACTGCCACAGTGGTTTCATGTGCTGATGTAACACCGGCTGAACACCAGTAATTGGTGGGTTGGTGTCTTAGAATCCATTGGCATCACTGCGCATGTCTTGAAGGGTAATCGACGCAGTGCTCAATACTGGAGCCTCCAAGGCTTCGCAGGTCCACGTTGACATACAAACAACTATGAGCGAAGAGCCATTCGATCCAGGGAGACCATGTCACTCAAAGAGACATATGAAAAAAGGAAATGAGAGACTTTCAATTTATCTAATACACCTTGGAAAAAGCTTGCAAACCCGCAGGAAATGAATAGCCAGATTCCCCAATAGACCGTTAGAGTAACGACAATTAACGAAGAGAAAAGAAAAGTAGACAGCCCAGCGCAAACGAAAAACTGATGAAGAAGACTTTGGTACAGATGAGTTTAACCATTAGGCTCAGATGCCACGCGAGAATAACAACGTATTGGGGCAAGAAAACAAACAGAAAAAAAAAAAAAAAAAAAAAAATACGGTAACCCGAGAAAAAAAACCAAAAACCACCGAACCCCCCTTCCCCTCATCCTAATCCACTCCCGCCCCCGCCGCCCCCGTCCGTCTGCTGAGCCTCGCTGGCCTACGGCGACTCAATAACAAGAACTCAACAGAATCAGACGCA